AACAGTAGATCATCGAAGCAGGCAGGAAGTCGGCCGAGTTGGAAAGTAACCACCCTGCCACATAACCTCAAGACCGGTCCTCCTCACGTTCGTCGTGCTGACATGGCCCACCTGAGTCCCAACCGGCTTGGCCTACATCAGTGTGGTCACAGGCAGCTAGCGCTTACCGGGGGATCCTCTTCTTTTATCCCGCCTTGAGGCGTTTGTGGAGAGCCTTGGGCCTTCACAAAGCAGCCGAGTCTTGTTCAGCGCCATCCAGACCCAAGCCAACTAATGCCCCGAGCTTCACCCTTCAATCCCAACATTGGACGCACTGTGCCGAGTATAGGGGTCGCCCCAAGAAGCGGGCAATGCGTACACCGTGAACCAAACCAAGACGGCGGTCAGGAAGCACTTATTATACGGCTTGAAAGCCTTCGGCGAAGGAGAGCTCCTGATGCTTATGATGCGTGCGTCATGGCCCCCGAATGTCCAGACCTCGTAGCTGCAAGACAAAAGCTCCTCCATGCCGAAATCTGAACCCATATCCGTGAACAAAGTCACCAAAACAACAAACAAGATCTAGATCTCCATTTGCCATAAGATCGATGCATGTGATGTTTAGACACTCCTCCATCGATTCGTGGCTGCCGGCCTGTCGGATCTTTGCCGCCCTCTCCGTTGGGCAGCCTTGGGGAGAGCAGGGTCTGTTCAGGGGTATCTCGGCTTCGAGCTCGAGCGAGTCCCTTACCAAGGGCTTCTGCAGTGGAAGTCGCGGAAAGTTCAAGGGTTTGCAAAGAGTGCTATTGAGCTATTGCTATCTAGTGAGGTTGTTTGGATGGCTCGCGGGCTCACCCGGTTCTGTCGGGATTTTGCAAGATGAAAGTGACCTCGCTCAAAGGATTGCAAAGCCTAAAGCCCGCAACCCTAAACCCTAAACACCCAGAACCGAACAGCCCAAGAGGAACCCCATGCCCCCCTGCTCCAAAACAAGCCACATGGGAGTTTGCGAACATCAGGGGTACCTGACTTTGGGGTCCTTCTAATAAGGATCCTTTGTTTTCAGGTACTATCTTAGGGCCCTAAACCCCAAACCCTCTATGGAACCCTTATATAGATCCCTTTCAGGAACCCTTTAAAGGAACCCTAAAATCCCCTTTTGTTAGGAGACTCCCAGACCTCAGCTTCTTCCATGCAAAGCGAGGGGCGGCTCCTCGGGCTGCACCCAGGCCATGGGCTTCCTGCTGGGCATCTGCTCTGGCTCACCCTGGCAGGGGAAGGGCTCAGAGGGGCCCTGTGGGCCCGGGCGATCTAAGAATATGCTGTATATTAGATCTGACATGTTATAGTATTATATATTGGATCTACTCTACGATATTCTCAATATAGTCGAGTTATAGCTGGCCTTGGTCTGACTTTGTCTTTTTATTGGGATGAGCGTTATCGACGTCTAGCTTTGTGTTTCGACTTTAAGGTCTGTAGGGCCGAGAGAACATGCTCTAGGGTTCGCATTCCAGCCTTGCTTCGGTGCAGGGCTCAGGCTTTGGGGGGTGAGTGTTCAAGGTATGGGGGTGTCAATATGCTTCCTGTCTCTGTTCCAAGCAAGGTGCAGGCATCAACTCTTCATGATCCAAGACAGCATGGACATGTTGGGTCTAGGATCTCGGAATTTGGGTGAAGGATGCATGCTTGCACAAGTACGTAGGATTTTTGACGGTGCTACAGTCTCCATCATCAGGACGATTCCCCATGCCTTCTGCCACAGCATCGCCGACCGTCGGCGAACGGGCGATGCAGCAAGAGGTGCCTGTGGCAAGCATCGTTGTACTTGGTGTTGAGCCCTCAAATCATTGGCCGTGCCAGTCCTCCGTCAAATGCTTGCCAGCTTGGCGTATCTTCTCCGCTTGCCACAGTAGACCCGAGCATCTGCAAGAGTCTGAACCTGCATGCCCTCCGCAGTGAACTCCATAGGACGTGCGAAGTCCAGAATCGGCAGACTTTGCAAACATCAGGGACACTTCTTGAACCAGGGGTTTCCCTTTGGCGGGAGCTTCTACGGAGCTAGCTCTTGCAGAGCTGGGGATCTGCTGGGTGTTCATGGCATCGAGAACAGTTCTCACATGTGTTTGGGAGGGTTTCTGCACCGTGCATTGTGTACAAAGTAGTGGGCACTGTCGGACTGTATTGAAACGCCTTCGATTACAAGACGGTCGTTGGTGCCCAGTATAGGTTTTCGGTTAAAGACAGTCGTTGTTCGTGCCAGCACGTGCCTAGTCTTGCGGGCTAAACATGAGTTGGAGGTAGAGAGTTAAGTTAGTATGGTATAACTATCATTTATAGGGACAAGAACTTAAGCATTCCGGCGTCTACCTGGTAACGGGCCACTTGGCAATCGAAGACCACGACCCCGGCAAGCTCCCCTGTACCGATCTTCATCTCTCTGCCCAGGCGCTGCTGGGGCCGGATACCTGGGTTTGTACAAACATGTGTGGTGCTAATGGACACAAAACCTGTTCCCTGACATCTCATAAGGCGCGAACAGCACCCGAGGACAGGCGCTATCCATCGGCTCGTCATGTCGGCCATGGGAGCCAGCATCTTCGGAAGAACGTCTTTTCGAGGACTTTGTGAACCCCTGTTGAAAACTCAACACAAAAGTGCATCATAGAGCTAGCGTAAAGCAGCTGCCTGCGAGTAGAATCACAACACCGCTTCTGATAAGCTCAATACCCTTGGCTTTGCGACCGCAGTGCTGTCTACCAGGACCACCCAAGTACCCGCACCCTTGACAGGGGCATATCCCAGGGGGCCGTGCCGGTACAACGAGGGAGCTCTGAAGTCCTCGACGCCCTTTGTTGCCACCGGGCCACGATGTGCCTGAGCTGCCCGGCAGCGCCACAAGCAACGGCGAGGCAGCGCGGCGCGCCTGAGTATCAAAGGCCCCAGAGGCATCACCGTGCCCACCTTTCCACAGCTGGCCGTCTTTGTCTGCGTCTGCAGGTATGCCGTCCCCGCCCAGCCAAGGTTCTTGTACGCAGCCCACTCCACGACCCATACATGACAAGCACTTCAGGAGAAGCTAAGACAGACTCTCTTCGGAAAGCTTCGTGGTCGGCTTCGAGTGAATTGTGTAACTTGGGTAACTGGATGTGTCGAGAAGCACTCCACAACACCGGAATGCAAGTAGCAGAAGAGGGTATACTAGAACGGCTTGCACCGATTCTCCAAGAATTTTGTGTTGATGAAATGAGATCTCTGTGCGACGAGAACTCAACGTGTAATACAAACGAAGCTGCATGTAGGACGACTAGGACAGGATCAGATCTCCGTGCTTTGACACTGGCAGAAGGGCAGGGCAAGACTGCTCACCCCCAGCTGCTGGAGTCACTGCCAAGAGGCCGCGCGGCGCGTGTGCCCGCCTTCCGCCTACGTGGACGCTGCAGTATGTGCAGAGGTCTAGGCAGTCTAGAATGTAGGAGATCACAAGACTTCAAGGCTATGGTCTCGAGCGCACGAAGCACAGCTGACACATATAGGATGACGAAACCTACACCGATCGCCGTCAGCGAGACGGGTTAGCGACAGCAGAAAAGGCACCGGTCCGAAAGCTCGAATTATGCAACTTTGGCTCGAAGGCCCGTCAACAAGACCTCACCGACAGGCCGTGATCAAATATCGATCGAGCTAGTAAGCTAGTACGATGCAAGCAAGCTTTGGCACACTGTGCAGTACATTCTACACCGAACAGTAGAAGCCTCTTTTGGTCAAGGCCCTTGCGTTGAAGGCTGCTGTAGATCCCCTATCTCCCCCCCGTCGCACCGCAGCCTCTGTTTCTAGGTCGGAGTGGATGCGGGTGATGCCTTCCAGCATGCTGGGGTAAGGCAGGCTTGAAGCCAATCTCTCTCGAATGCTACTTGATGCTAGCAATCCATGGGGGGGCCAGAAGCTGAACGCGCAGATTTCGGAGCATGTCAAGTCCTGTAAGCCTCGAAACCTAAACCTCAGAACATACACCTGGTGCCCCCCCAAAACCTTAGTCCCCCAAACCCTCGCCTTAAATCCCCACCTTCCCTAAACACCCCAGGGCCCGGCCCACAACCCGTCAATCCCGATTTCCCCAGCTCCCGCACAACCCGAAGCTTCCTGACCCTGACAGGGCCTCTAAGGCGCAGCAGGCTCAAAGCCTCGAAAGCTTGCGGAAGGGTGTGGGGATGTTTAAGTTTAGGGTTTCAAGCGCTTCAGGGTTTAGGACTTTTACGGCTTCTTCAGACAGAATCCTCAAGGATTTAGGGCTGATCATAATCATAAGCTTCAGATCATAATGTTAGCATACATTTCAATGGCCAGCCAAGCTGCGCCCTCGGTTCTGGCCCTTGTCCTGCACACGCAAAGGGCGAGGGGATTGGAGCTGAGACCGCCATACTACCTCAATCCCGACATCGAAACCTTAAATTCTTGAAGCTCGAACAGGGTGACGTCTGCCCTTCCATTCCAAGATAACCCGCGCCCCTCCTGTGGAACAGGCTGCGGGCTCGCCGTGAAAAGCTTTGGCTGGGATGCGGCTGCATCGCGCGGATGGTGTCTACGTCAGCCGGAGCGGAAGGACAACGCGACATGTTGTTAGTCATGCTTCTGGCATGGGCCTGTCAACGGCTTCTATCTGGTCTAGTGCTTAGAGTGCTTAGAATGGGCACAAAGAGCAAAGTTGCAGAAGTCGGGGCTTTGAAGCATTGGCTGTGACATGGAAGCATGCGTCATTGCACTGAAAGTTGAAAGCGAATACTTAAACCTTGAACCTGCAACGGCACCAGGACGCACTATGTCCTCGTTATTGGATGTTGTTGGAGTCTCCCAACCAACGCGCACCGGTAAGACAGTGATATCCAAGACTGTTCCAGGGTGATCTGTAACAAGTCATGCGATCAACAAAACGTCGCCGATGGAGAAACGGACGTGGGTGAGGGTCAAGAAGAGCCCTTGAAGGACAAGCAGGGAACAAAGCACAGTGCTGAGGAGTGGGCAAAGACCAATTCACAAAGGCCGAACGCGATGCCCAAAGCCTGTGCACCGCTCAGAACATGATTTCGTGTTTCAGGTCGAGGGTTTCAGGGCATTTACGGTTTCAGTGATACTTTGGGTTAAGGGTTCGCGGCTCTCAAGCGCGGCTAGTACTGTAGGGGGTAGTTCTTGTGTTTCAGGATTTAGGGTCAAGTACTCTGAAGCCTACGCCTACGCTTCTCTAGGCTCTGCTGTGCTTCTTGGTCTTTGCAGCATGGCGAGGTCGCATCGCCAGGGCTTCAGTGCGACTCCCTGTGGTAACCCATGCCTCGCACCCTTGAGTTCAAGCATCCGCAAACGCTGTAGGTCATAAACAGGCGAGACGCCGCAATTAAGAGTCTCAAGCCTGCAAGAAACTGCACAGACCTGCCTCAATCTGGCGGTAGCGGAGCCCCACCACAGCTGCGAGGATCACCTGGGACCACAGTTCGCAAGCGTCAAATTGGGCTCAAAATTCCTGATTCCACCTCGTGGAGCTCCCAAGGCTTCCGGTGTCGTTAGATTCTCCCCGGGTCCTCCGTCCTAACCTCTCCGCGGCGGCATCGCAGATCCGAGGTTGCTGCGACAGCTGCGAGGATCACTGCCACCGCGTTGCTCAGTCCTGCTGGGCCGACTCTTTAACTCTAGCTCAACCCGAAGATGGCCGCGCAAAAACCTATGCCAGTGTGCGAAGCCCCACACCTGACACCTGAGCAAGAGATCACTGTGTTCTGAGTACAGGCTTCTGGGATTCTTGGTGTCAGGTTTCGAGTCGAGTTAGAAAAACTGGTTGACTCCGAGGTTCTTCCAAACCTTCTCTCTCCGAGCCCCTTCACCTTTTTGCATCCAGGCCTATTGCGACTGCCCCCCTTCTGAACCCAAACCTCAACTCCCGAATAATCCAACCCGGGAGAGTTTTTCGTTAGAGTTTCAGTGTTTCGGGTTCAGCTTCCCAGTTCCCTCAATGTGCAACCTCCTGAGTTCCACATGAAACTCTGAAGCCTAATAGCATCGAAGACCCGCGAAGTACCCGAAACCTGCAATGCTGCGGTGTGCTGCCACCATATCTTACGCTACTTAAGGAGGACAAAGATGCTGATGATTCAGGATCGTACAGTAAGGCTGAGAATGCGTCCTTGTTCAGGCAAGTCTCGTCACAGGCTGCTACGAAAATAGAGAATCCCTGCGAAGCAGATCCCCACCCAATCACTGGGGGCCGCACCCCACAAGCGACCCACGGCGGCCACGCCGCTCTGCAGGGAGGATTTCGGACTTGTTGTGTTGACTATGGGATGGGAGTTTAAACAAAGCTCCACGAACCCCAACATGACCAGATGCTCTTTGTGCGAGACTGCTGGTCATATCCGTATCCCAGCAGGTGTGGGTCAGCACTTTCTTGCAAGATGTCCGCCGGCAAACAACTAGCTTCCAAGGTGCCAGCTGAGGCACCATGCCTCTGGTCAGGCTATTGAAACTGAAAGGCTCCTGCACGCCTCAACGGCGTGTTGAACACCAGCGTCTCGCCATAGTGGAAGGTGAGGAGACTGGCTGCGAAATCGTAGTTCTCCTCGTTCGTGGGGGTGTCGGGGAGCTTGGGTCCAGGCGACACCTCCGGGGCATGCCAAACCTTGTCAATCAAGGGTTGCAGGCTGGCGTAACGGGTAAGCAAAGCTCGCAGCTCTTTGCGGCCTTCCTTGCTTTCCATAAGCAAGCTTAAGCCTAGGGCGAGCCGGGCCACACGAGTGCGATGCAGCTTGTTTGGGCCCACTCCAGCACCAGAGCTGGCACCAAAAGACAGCTGCATTCCGTAGGACTCATCAGGCCAGAAGGGAGCCAGAATCTCCATCAGCGCCTGTGCATCCTCCTCGAATGCATCGTCTCTCGAGGGACGTCTCGCGCCTAACACGCCTTCCCTTTGCATCGCCTCGTCCAGAAGGTTGGCTGCCGACTGCAACACCGGATCATTCCGCGGCAAGCGCAAGCACAGGAGCCATCCGCCTCCTGAGCGGATCCAGAGGGCTCTTGCATCGCCGTCGCCATCCATCTGCGCACTTTTTGCAACACACATGCACGTAATTAGGAGAGAGAAGGCTGTTTGGGCCCCACGGAGAGCCTGAGCCGAAATGTGGTCACAACCATGGCTGCCACTTTGCAACAAGCCTCGATTTCGCAACAAAGTGTGGCCACCACTAACGTGCGGCGCAGCAATAGAAGCAGTTGAGTATTCATATATTCATACTCAGCCCTTCGATTCTGAGCCGCATTGAACCCATCGGTACGAGTATGTGAGCAATGAAGCTGGAAGTCACCAATTAATCGGCACCGGCCCCGCCATCTCAGAAACCATGGCGATGATGCATTCCACAATGAGCAGGGCGGTTGTAAACCAGCACCTGCTGCAGGGTTGGGGTGAGTGCTGGTGGATCCTGCCACCCGGGATTCTGGAAAATGACATCCTTGATGTCCTTGAACTGCCTCGTAAATTTGCGCGTGCTTGCCTAGACCACACAAGCAAATCTGCTCCACAATCCTCGAACTCCTTCTGAAACGATACCATCAGCATCCTATGGCTATGTAGGATTCAGCCATTCTGTGACAAACTAACCGGGACATCTCAAGTCCTTTGGGCGCACCATCCACGGCCAAAGTTGTCTCGAATGCAGGCACTGTGGCCTTGCTGCAAAATCAGCTTCACAACAATGGGGCCGGTTGGACGATTTCGGCTAATGACCGTGATTGCAGACATAGAGGCAGTCACCAGTCAAGTTGAATACGCAAGCAGGCACTGGCAATGACGGCCCGATGAACGGGAGGCGGTGTAGTTGGCAGGGTAGTGATCCCCATGGTCCTAGGAATTACGGCAGTCGTTGCTGCTGCTGCTGCTGTTGATGTTTGCCGTTTGCTGCTTGCTGATTGCCGCTTGCCTCTGCTTCTGCAGCTGCTGTTGCCGCTGTTGTTGCTGTTGTCGTTCTGGTTGCAGCTGTTGCTGTTGACTGTTGCCGCTGTTGTTGCTACTGCTGCTGTTGTTGCTGTTGCTGCTGTTGCTGCTGCTGTTGCTACTGCTGCTGTTGATGTTGCTGACGTCGCTGCTGCCGCTGTTGTTTTTGCTGCTGCTGCTGCTGCTGTCGGTGGTGGTGGTGGTGGTGGTGGTGGTGGTGGTGGTGGTGGTGGTGGTGGTGGTGGTTGTGGTGCTGGGTGGTGCTGGTGGTTGCTGTTGCTCCTTCTGCTGAGTCTTCAGGCAGCGAGTACACCGCCACATATCTGTATATATATATATATATATATATATATATGCATATTAGCACACACACACACACACACCCGCGAATATGTATACTGTAAGTATGTGTGTATGTATATATTAGGATTTCTGCACAGGCTCGAAGGCAGAAAGGACCACCTCTTCAGCCCTGGCTTCGCAGACATGGAAAGGTGTATCTACCGAGTTAGCGCCTCGAGCAGAGCACATCCACCAACACCACCCTGTGACCCAGTGGGCCTTGCTGCGTGCAAACACCAAGCCGCACGGTCAGATCCTGCAGTGTAGAGTTTGGGGTTTAGGACAGCTTTAACCCTTTTTTTCTAATTCTAAGGCCTAGGGGCCGCTTGGGTCGGCGATGACAGTGCGGGGCATTCCAGAAGATTTTGAGGCGCAGGCCCAGAGTTTCCGGGGGAGCGTCTGTTCTCTTCTACACCGCCCTGCCTGCGCCATGAAAAGCACTGGGATCAAGAAGACCTGCCAGACGACTGCGGGTCTGCACTGCTATTCGAGACAGAGGGCCAAAGGGTCATGCATACTGTAGTCCATTGCCTTGCAGTACAAAGTGCAACTATACGGATTTGTGACTATCAGACAGGACGTGAGCTGGATGACGCCCCCCGGGCAGGAAGCTCATGGATTTGAGTCACGAGCCGTGGCCATTTTTCTCAGCCAGGATTTTGGGAAATAATGTTCTGCTGCTTCTTTCCGGTAGCAAAAGCGCAAGATCTTCGAGCCTCTGAGCAGCACCTCAGCGGGGTACCGGGATCATGGCCCCCAAGCAGTTACTATAGTGAGCTGATGCTTGTGATGATTTAGTATGGAAGCCGCTATATCGGACTGTAATATAGAGTATAATCGAAAAATGAGGAATCAACATACCCGTATGGTCCCGAGAGAAGTCTACATTGGACAGACGGGATCCACAAGTGCCGTTCACGGCTGGTGGCAAGGTCCAAGCGCGCTTCAAGTAGTGTTTGGGGTTGAGGGGTTTAGGAGTCTAGAGTCCCATGGGGTTCAAACCGGGTGGATACTTTAAACTAAGCCCGAAGCCCAAAGCCCTGCAAACAAGCCCTTACCAGGATCGCCTGCAGCGGCAAGAGGGCATAGCCCCACCTGCTGCCCGGAGGAATTTCTTGGTCTTGTTCCACAGCTCTTGCTCTAGGTCCTTTTCAGAAGGATTTGGTGGCACTTTCGGTCCGCTCCTGGTCTAGGCAACACCAGGAAACATATCCTCATGTGCGGTCTGCAAGAGGACCGCCTTTTGTCTTTGCAAAGACCGCCGTCGCTGAAAGCAATCCCCACGACGTCTGTGTGAAGAGCGCAGACGAATAACGAGACACAACAAGACTTCCAGTCTCGCAACCCTTGACTGGTGTACTCAGGGCTCTGAAGACCTAAGACGTGCTCACATGTGAGGGTCAGGGTCCCAGGACTCTGCCCCCCAAAGCCCCGCAGCCGAGCCCTCAAGCACCCTCTGAAGCCCAGAAGTGGCGGAAGGAGGACGATTATACACTAGTTATACTATAACGTATTGTATTGTAAGTAATGAGCTACACATATACATAATGTATATATATGTATATATATATGTGTACATATTTATACATATATATATATATATATATGTATACATGCATATATATATATACATACATACATACACATATAGCACTCCTTTCTTCGATCGACTTCGCCTTGAGCCAGACTGTCCCGCGACAAGGAGGCAGCCGGCATCAGTGTCGGCTAAACAGACCAGGAGTCCTTGGGAAGGGTTGCGTGGGGCCTTCATCATTAGAATAGGGTTTAGGGCTCCTGCATAGCTACTTATAGTTCAGGAACCCTAAGGAATAATAATGATGATGATTATTTAGGGTTCATCATTAGAATAGGGTCTTGGGCTCCTTTGTAGTGTACTTACAGCAAGGGGCCCTAAGGAAGAATGAATAATGGTCAATGTGTAGGCTTCCAAAGTGTTACGAGGCGGGCTTGGCTTTGGGAAGAGGCTCCAGGGTCTTCGGCTAAGCTCTGCAGTTGAACTGAAGAGCTAAAGTTTGGGGGCACGAGTGCATGATGGACTCTGCCGACCTGCCTGCGGGCAGTGCACCTTAGGCTTTTGCTCTACTGGTGGAATGCAATGTATTGTGCTCCTGCAATATGGCAATGCAAAAGCCCGACCGTACAGACTCGCTGCTCAGCGACACTCAGGATCCTATCCGCAGGCAAGCATGAGGGGGTATGAGTCTGAGGGATCTCCGACTCTTGCTCCTGATGGAAAAGGTTCCCCAACACGAGGTTTCTTTGCAAGAAGAACTCCCCCACGGACCGAGGTCCTCCCCGATCAGTCCTGGTCCTAACACAGAGAACGACCAGACGAAACCAGAGCCTTGCAGGGAAGGGGAGGGGAAGAATGAGATTTCTGCTTTGGGGCTGGGGGTCTCAAGTGTAAGGCAGCAGCACAAACGGGAGTCTTGCTTTTTGTATGCTCAGCTACATTTTGGCAGCTTTGCGCCTTGCTGCTGTTCACTGCCAGTCTGGTTTTATCAACGAACTTGCAAAGGAGTACCCAATGCTATTTCGATTGCAATGCGATTATTGCTATGGTGCTCAATGACACTGCGAAAACGAACCTTGCTCACCAAGATATTCGGCACAATTCTGTAGCAATTGTCTGAGCACACTTTCATTGTGGCTTCTTCGGCAGCATCACCATCACCATAATGATTCTTGATGTCCACGATCTCGATGGTTATGGTGATCATGACAATCACTACCGTCGGCATCATGACCACTCCAATGAATTTGTTTGCGGTTCGGACACATTGACAGATCATGGATAGGCTGCTTTATGGTAGAGCTGAACATGTTTCTCACTTTGCATGAACACTAACCGCAATTGCCACATGTATCTTGCTGGCCACGCACATCACACAAGCTCTCACTACATAAACAGACCGATCAGCATGCCTACTGCGATATTGACAGCTAGCCCTTGTACAGTGTTCGATAATACTCATGCGGCCGCCAAGCATTGCTGCTGCTGCTGCTCCTCTTGGTGATGGGGTCCTCAACCCAACATCTTGAATGGGTCTTGAATTCAGCACCCTGGCTTACGTTACGTCTTCCCACTTGCCTTCCCACTTGTCCAAACCTTTCGCGAGCAGGGGCTTCTGATCTTCGTCCGGGCGTTGGGCCTGCATGGACAATGAAGAGTGCGTCTCTCAGCTAGCTTCGGCGTCTGGAGTAGGGTTTGTATCACTCACCAAAGAATGGAACTCTACGTACACCCACTATAGTCGAATCTATAACACAGTCTGAACTAATTGGCACGCCATGTCACGATGTTGAACAATCGTCTTTTCAGGAGCCATCGCAAGCCGTAACCCGCTGCAGAGTGACCTGAATGCAGGAGTCGCATGGGACCCCACACCGGGCATACTTCACCTCGAATCCGTTGCGAATCAACATGTCCAAGCAGACCTCCATGCTGTCCACGGAATAAAAATTGATTTGCAGCTGGTCAATTTCTTGCAGGAAGCCTGTGGATTGCAAGTGCCGCAGGAAGATGGTCTCATTTCCTTGCACGTCGATCATGAAGGCATCAACGTGCTTGTGTCCGAGCCTTTTTGCAGCGATGGCCGACATGAACCCGCTGGGGGACAAGTCAATGCAGTGTTCGGTGAAGTTATATCTCTGCCCTAAAGTGTTGTCTGACTCATGGCAAGGATGAAATGCGTGGACTTCGCATTGCGGAGCCAGAATGTCCAGACCGACTTCAACAGAAACGTTATCAAAAGATCGTAGGTTGTACGCCACACATGTGTGCATACGTCCAAGCAATGCCAACTCGCAAAAGTACCCAAAGCTTCGAAGCGTGTAAGGATGTTGCTGCAGGCGAAGATCTTGAGCCACGGCAAGTTGTCCAGGTCCAGAGCGACAGTGCCTCGCAGAATAGTTAGCAAGCACTTTGTCACAGGGAGCGTCAGGCTTTGCGCGTCTGGCAGCAAGGTAGGCCTGGTTGGCTTTTTCTTTCGCCCTGTGTCCGGTCAGTGTTTGGAAAGTTTCGACGAGGACGGCATCTGTAGGATGTATCGCGTCTCGGATGTCCACCTTGCGATCGTACGTTCGGTAGACACGCCATCCAAGCGCAAGAGCCGCCTTCGTGCCAGCGGCATTCAGCTGCTGCACTCGGTTGCCCCACCAGTAGTCCCCCCGCTTCGTGGTATCTCTAGCGGGAAAGCGTTGCAGATACCCCTGCCGGCTGCTCGGGACCAGCGTCTGAATTGTGTTCATGAGTTTTGTGAGGTTCTCGGCATAAGCGGTCGCCACGTCCGTGCTGCCGTTATCCATGCTCTTTAGAAGGGTTTGATTATGATTGCTCAGTCGGGCCAACGTCCAGAAGTTTGTCCCGAGCCAGATCTCATTCACATCAAGTCCAAGAGTCAAATTCTGTAGTGCCTCTGTGAATGTTTCGAACTTGGACTTCTTGTCGATTTTGTGCCACGGACCCTCCGTGGAAACGTCAAACTTATTGAAGATGTAAAGGACGTGCAGCAACCTGTCTGCATCCCAGCAATCCATGTGGTTGACCACCCCACCGCCCTTTTCCGAACATCGTGGGAACACTGCCTTCATCATGTAACGCTCGATAGAGTCCCCTACGAACAGGATCGTCCTCTCCTTCCATCTCGGACACTTCGGGATCTTTGTCGTCGTCGTGTCGTTCACGGTCTGCAAGGAAGTCTTGAATGAGGGAGGTCTGAAGTGAGCCTTCAAAACAGTCTTCAACGGAGGTTCCAAGGGAGTCTGCAATGGCGTCTCCAGCAGATGAGGAAACACTCTGTACACACCATTCATCATGGTTATGATCATGACGACGGCTGTCCATGCGGAGGAAATAATTGGCCCCAAGCGCTCCAGCATTGTGTCAACGCTTGTTAGGAACTCGAATTAGCTGAGGGGCTCGGCACACAAACCCAATTGGAATCTCTTCAGGTTACGCATTACACAACTAGGACCCAAAGGACAGCTACAACATGCAATGCACAAGGCTAGAAATCGGAGACATCGTGGGAAAGGGATCAACAAGCTTTCGTGTTGCAATTGCCTTTAACGAGGTCCCGAAGACCCTAAGCCCTTGGAGCTGGCAGGGGGACGGGCAGCCTCGACAAGCTCTCGAGGCATAGAACCAGCTACCAAGCAGAGAACCGGCAATGCAACGAAAATCATTCCACCAATATGTCAGGTCGCCTTCGCTGCTGCGAACTGACCGGACACCGCTATGCCTGCTTTACGCGAGAGACTTCAACTAACAGTCGTCGACCCCGAGCCTGCCAGAAAAGCCCTGTGATCTCCCGAAGCAGGCCTCGACATACGAAGCGCTCTCGGATGGATTCATCTGGGGCCTGCCAGAAAAAGCTGAAATTAGATGCCGAACAAGCATCAGGGCTAGACACGTGTGGAAGTCCCGACTTTTTCAAATGTTCAGGGTCGAGCCGCCAAAGCCGAAACTACAGTAGATAGACAGCGATGCAGTCTGATGCACCTGGCGGGAATCTGTGCAATAGCCTGTCACCTGGACAGGTTTTTCAGAGTTGTGCAGCTCTGTGGTGATAGAGTTCGCCCCAGCATTGGCGGTAAATTCAAGCAACTACTGAGCAGCAGCGCCGACGAACATCACAGTGGAGGTTCTCTGCGTCATAAAGAGCGAATTGCAGGGGCTTCCAGTTGACGACGACCTACGCCGAAATGTGAAAAATACAAGGGTGCTGCGTCGGGCAGCTGTGCGAGTAACAAGAGCTCCGTATGTTGCACCGCATTAGCAAACATCGCGTAGCTCTATACACAACTCTAAAAGCTGTCGCCCAGAACATGAGAAAGCAATAACCTGTAAGCTTCTTACAACCCAGATATAGTCCAGCTCTTAAACCGTGCTCAAAGTCGACAGGATCCCTGAACTGGTGCAGCGGATGCGACCCTCTGGCCTCCTTCCACCCACAGCATGGTCGGCCATTCGACGGCTGGGGTGGGCCAGGGGAGGCTCGAGCAAAGAGATAGGCGAACAATAGCTTTTTGTGGAATTCTAGCAGCCCAAACTTACAAACCGTCTTGACCATGCTCCCGAAACCCTGCCCGTACAGTCTTTGGCGAGTCTCGAAGTAGCGGGGTGTATGTTGGAGGCAGCTGCCTGGAAACCCTTCATGTACCACGTAGATATTGCTGCTGCTGCTGCTGCTGCTGCTATCTGTCATGGTGGTCACACGCATGTCCTTGCAGATGGTGTGTTGCAATCGGCGAGCAGCTTCGTTTTCGTCTGTCCCGCGTCCACTCCTGCCGACTTTGGGCCCGGAGAGGATCTCGGGCTTAGTGGCTTCGGGGGTCCGAGCTTTTGCAAAGCCGCAGACCTTTGTGAGGCTTTGGCTAGGGCTCTGGGCCTCGTAACTTTAAGCTCCGCGGCCCCGTCGCCAAAAGTGCACGTGCAAGATATTGCAAACCAGATTAGCGTGGCCTAGTCCCGGAGCGCCCTCTCCACCGCTTCGAGCCACTTTGCGAAGCCTACGGCACCCGGGTCGGGCGAGCGTGCTTGTCGGCTGGGTGGCACGTGGACAGCACGTCCTGGCGACCATACGTTGCACTGCCGAAACCGATCTGCCGGAACAGCGTTTCGGGGCCCCTGCGCACTTCGTGTGGTTCCGGCTTCGATGATGGCACTTTGCTTGTGCCGCTTGTTCATCAGCTATCAGTATCTCCCTGATTGGTCCCTGAACTCGAGACTGGGGCCCAGCCTTTCTTCGCCACCATTTGCTGGGTCTTTTTGGCGCCCTGTTTCGCCGCCTTCACGGCTTCCTTGGCGGTGCACTCTCAGACATTCCCAGTGCTGAGACCCCAAAGTCGAACAGCTGCGAGAAAGCACGAATCTCCGAAACTCTTTGAACATCTCTGGGCTTAGAGTGGCTCCAGAATCCAGTATCATCCAGTATTCATCGTCCGACGGGCGGCTGCGAGCGCGTTCGGAGACTGTGCGCAGGCTCGCAAGGCCTGCAGGGGGGGCTTGCGTGCTCTTGAGAAAGAGGGGTATATCCTCAGGAAGCTTATCTTGAGGTCGAGGGCTAGCGGCTCGGGGGAACTTTCCCACATCTTTACCGCAGCTCCTGGTGATGAAACGGCCTGTAAAGCCATCAACGAGACTAAGCTATGGCGGAAATGCTTTTAGCAGCTCGCATACACCAGCCTCTGCAGCAGGCAGCACCGCATCCAGGATAGTCCTGCTGGATCGCTGGCCCCTAACAGCATCTTCAGGACGATTAAAGCACAATTCGGCACAAAACATGGAATCGGACGACTTTCGAACGTAGGTAAGGCAGGTAATGCCACAAGTCGCTCAACAAAACACTTTCAACCATAGTCGACCATGGTGATGGACAGACAAATCAACAACACACACACACACACATACACGCCCGTACACGCAAGTACATGCTCAATGTTCTTGGCTCAGTAATTTGAAACCCTCCGGTACCCTGCGGCAATACTACAACAGGTTTCCTGAGGCCTTCGACTTATCCCCACCACCCTCCCTGAACCAGTGCCCAGTGCTAGGACAGCTTGGCCATTCTTGTCACGCCAGTATCGGGTTCAGGCTTGTCGCCAACAGTCGATCGTTGGTATGCTTGTGTGCCGCACGTACTTGCTGAAAGGCATGATCCAGTGTTCCCTTCTAGCCAGGAAGGTCAACAACCCTAACTTTGCATCGAACAGCAGGCTTGTTCAATCGGGGAGTTGTGTAAAAGATCGTTATTTTAACAGAAATGTCCCCAAACCACCATGGCAGGTCCTGAGACACCTGGGCCCTTTACAATTTGACCGGACAACCTTGAGCAAGCTTCACCCGTGGGTCCTGTCGCCCTGCTGCGCCCCTCCATACTCCTCTTCACACAACTCGAATGTGAGCGGTAAGCGTCGGCTAGAGCAAGGCTTCATAGGTTCGGAACTTCTCCGATTTGTCCCCATGGGCCAGGAAATTTGAAGCTCGGGAAGTTGTCTACGGCTAGGCCTCGAGGCTCTGACTTCCTCTCCGTGGGTTTGGGGCTGTGTGGCCGAAAAGTCTTGGGTCAGCTCTGGACTATACCGCTCCACGCTCCCAGGACGGCCCCGTAGTGCGACGTCTTCAAGTGGAGGCTGCTGAATAGGTTCAAGTCAGCGCACGCGGCACTAGAGAAAAGTAGTTCCTTTGCCATCACTCTGCACAAGACCCTGAACGGTCAGGTCAGTGCGATCCTCGATGGCCTTTCCAGCAGCAGCGAGCGCCTGCGAGAGTTCCCAGTGCTGCGACTACAGTACAAGTCTTCCGCACGAGCTTGCAACCGTAGTTGTCCTAAGTGCTACCGACCCGAGCCGACATGTGTGTACAGGTCGATGTGAAAATATGTGCACGGGTGCGGGTGCCACTGCCTCTGCGCAAAAAGCTTCTCGATGCTCAGCAGACAGCGAAGAACACTAGTACTTTCAGCTGCAACTTTTTGCCTGCAGATGTAAAAATGCTCGGTCAGCCCTCGGTGCCCTCGGTCAACCCCATGTCCTGCAAACGCCAAACCGTGAGTTGCATCAATCACACCATTCTTTACCGACAGAGGCTGTCAGTGTCCGCCAACGGAGAGTGACAGCGCATGTGCACACGCACCCCAAACCAACATAAACATCACAAAGGAGCCCTGCGTGCACTGGCCGAATAGCCCTAATTGCTCAAAACATAATCCTGACTTCATAGACTGCTAACCCCCAAAAAAGGGATCCAATATTCGACCGCAAAGGAATCCTCTCTGGATCAAACGATAAAACCCGGCAAGAAGATCTGCAGTCATGCTTACACAGGAAACAGAACCTGAGTGGGGCAACAGCAAACTCAACGGAAAAAGGGCTCAAACCTACCAGCAGCTTCGGAGCGCCCTTGCACCACAGTGCAAAGGGCTCAAAATGTTGAAATCAGGTTACTTTGCTCCATGAGGAGAAAAATCAAGGGCCTCAAGCTTGGCCCTGAAGGCATTCCAAAGCCGAAGAACCTCAAGCGGACCTCTGCAAGGATCCCTGAAAGCCTTTGACCTTTAAGTCTCCACAGAGTCGTGTCTCTCGCTAAGAGCCCAGAACAAGGCCACTCACTTCACCCAAACCGAAACCTCCAACTGCAATGTGACACCACGCCGAAGAGGCCTCTGCCCAATCGAGAAGTGTAGGCGCAGACCCTACTCGTTTGGCAGCTGCCTG